GCGCCCGGCGGGGGCGGCGCGGCGGCTGACGGGGTCAACGCGGCGGCCGACGTCAACGCGGCGGCCAGTGAGGTCAACGTGGCACCCAACGGGGTCAACGTGTTGGCCAACGGGGTCAATGTGGTGGCCAGTGGGGTCACCGCAGCCAGCGGGGTCAACGTGGCACCCAACGGGGTCAACGCGTTGGCCAATGGGGTCAACGCGGCCAACGGGGTCAACGCGGTGGCCAATGGGGTCAACGTGTTGGCCAGTGGGGTGAACACAGCCAATGAGGTCAGTGTGGCACCCAACAGGGTCAATGTGTTGGCCAACGGGGTCAATGTGGTGGTCAGTGGGGTCAATGCGGTGGCCAGTGTCAACGCAGCAGCCAATGGGGTCAACGTGTCACCCAATGGGGTCAATGTGGCACCCAACGGCGTCAACGCCGTGGCCAGCAGGGTCAACTCGGTGGCCAGCGTCAACACGGCACCCAACGGGGTCAACACGGCCAACGGGGTCAACGCGTTGGCCAGCGGGGTCAGCGCGGTGGCCAGCGTCAACGTGGCGCCCAACGGGGTCAGCGTGGTGGCCACTGGGGTCACTGCAGCGACCAATGGGGTCAACACAGCGGCCAGCGGGGTCAACGCGGCACCCAACGGGGTCAACGTGTTGGCCAACATCAGTGGTGCCAACGCCCTGCCCGTGGCGCCCAGCGGGGTGGGCGTGTTGGCCAACGTCAACGCCGTCACCGTCGCGGCCGGCCCGGCGCCCGGCAGGGTCAACGCCCTGCGCGGCGTCTCGTGACACCGAGGCCGGGGTGTCCGTCCTGACGGACAGACGGACAGACGGACAGACAGGCTGATTGATGGCTGGGGTGACTGACAGCTGGGCTGATTGACAGCTGGAGTGATGGACAGACGAACACCTGGCTGATGGACACCTGGGCTGATTGACAGCTGGGCTGATGGGCCTATAGACAGATGGACATCTGGTCTGATGGACACCTGGACAGATGGACACTTGGCCGAAGGACACCTGGGCTGATTGACAGCTGGACAGATGGACACCTGGTCTGATGGACAGATGGACATTTGGGCTGTTGGACACCTGGTCCAGTGCACACCTGGTCTGATGGACACCTGACTGATGGACAGATGGACACTTGGCCAATGGACACCTGGTCTGATGGGCAGATGGACAGATGGACACCTGGGCACGGCCCCACCCCCCGCCGGACACCGGGGACCCCCAGGCCCCCCCGGCGGTGCTGGCGCCGACCCCGAATCTCCAGGAACTCTCGCAGCTGCCCCTCCCCCACCCCGGGATGGGGGTCCTGGTATATACAGCTGAGGGTTAAGCT